CATTAAATTTTTGTTTATATTTCTATATTTTTTTGTTTCTGGCTTCAATAGCAATCTCAGACAAAGATGATTTAGATTAAACAGGTTGTGACATAGGTACGGTTTTATGTAAAATGTTATTAGTAATGATTGCAAATAGATACTTAGATTTCTGATTGAAAATTTAAATCCACTCTTGTAGTCGTGGTGTTTATATTAATGAGTAAGCATCAAAATAACTTATTCAGATTTAGGTGCTCTTAGTGGTACACTAAAAATAATAAAAAATACATTAAAGCATATACAACACCAATAAAAATGTTTTTGTGTATATATATATATATTGAAAACTGAGGATATATATATATATATATATATATATATATATATATATATATATATATATATATATATATATATATATCCTCAGTTTTTAAGTGAAATGCAATAAGTCTAAAAGTATTATTTTGAGTTAATGAACAAATAAGTTTTTGAATAGTTAAAATAATAAGTTTTTGTGTAATAGCTGAAATAAAAAATCTGAATAACTCATTAATAATTGATTTATTAAATTTGTATGGTGTATTAAATGATTGCATTTCCCTAGTATACTGACGGTATAAATATGTATATATATATATATATATATATATATATATATATATATATATATATATATATATATATATATATATATATATATATATATATATATATATATATATATATATATATATATGTATATATGTGTCACACGTATATACACACACATATATATATATATATATATATATATATATATATATATATATATATATATATATATATATATATACATATATATATATATATATATATATATATATATATATATATATATATACATTGTGTGTGTGTGTGTGTATTCATAGCTTATTCAAGTTAAATAAGCTATGAACACAGACACACACACACTTTTACACACACACACATACACACACACTATTTAGTTAGTAACTAAATATAAAACATCAAAAACCAACAATGTAAATATCTCTTGTGAGTTTAATATGTTTTATATATTAAGTTATTATTATTGTTAGATTTTAACAATAATAATAACATAATAATAATAACTTAATAACAAGAGATATTTAATTTGTTAGTTTTTGATGTTTTATATTTAGTTACTAACTAAATATAAAACATCAAAAGAAAAAAGTTGTTTCTAACTAAGTTAGAAAACTTTTTTCTTTTTCCATCAAATAAAAAGTCAGATTTTCAAAAATGTTAAAATTCACTGTTAAAAAATTCAAAAATGTTAAAATTCACTGTGTTACCAGCATAAATTGATAAAAATGTGGACTGCAAAAATAAATTTTTAATTTTAAAAATATACCTAGGAGGAAAATCGTCAAACAAAAAATTATTAAAAGTAAACATTTTTAAACTGAGAAGTTATAACTTACCGCTCTAGAATATATGTACCGCTCCGCGTCTAATGTTGTTTTTTATACTTATTAACTAACCGGTTTTTGATAAAACCCACTACAATGAATCGATATTACATTATGTTACTACAGAGGTAGCCAGTATATTATTTCATTTTTAAAAAGTCTGTTTATCGTAGAAAATTTTTAATAAATAAATAACTGGCTACCTCTGTAGTAACATGGTCCAATTAATCAATCTTTAGGGACACACAAAAGCAATGATCCGAACTTTTTTTTTTCCTATCTTGGTTTTTAATTTACAAAATGTATCATTGTTTGATAATATGCAAAAAATTTGAGGAAATTTGGAAATTATCGTATCTAGTATAATGATTTAGTGAAAACTTGGGTTTCTTTAACCCTGAAAATCCCGCACTTAAAAAGGCAAATTTATAAAAATTTGAAATAAATATATATTTTTTATCTAATGCTAACTTGTTTCAGTTGAAAAATGATTAAAATATTAAAATTGATTTTTTTTTTCAGAAAAGTAACTAAAATCCAATTTCCGCTTCGCGACGCATAGTGAATCGGTTGAAAACAATTTAGGCCACAGTACGTTGTCTGAAAATTAGTTTCACTTTTTAGTAGATGTTCTTTTTGTAGAACAACTAGAGATTTTTATAGATCTAACTATTTGACACGTGTTTGACACGTATTTGACACGTATTAAAGTACTATCATGTTTAAACTTTTGATCAAATAAGTTAGTTATAATACATACTTAATGACTTCAGTCATATTTTACTATAAATTGGTATATTTCATTGATAAAAGATAAAAATGTCACTTAGCCCCACATTAAATTTGTAAAAAAAATGCATGTTTAAAATAGAGAATATCTATACTTTTTTTTAAGTAGAGATGTGACACATGCAGGGTTGGACTAGCCCACCGGGACACCGGGAAATTTCCCGGTAGGCCGGTCAACTTTAGTGGCTGTGGCCGCCGGCTTCCGCCTGTTACTGTACTTAGTAAAAAAAAGTGTTTTTCTCACTTGAAATTCCATCATATTTTAATAATATTAAATATAAAACATTATAACAATATAATTTTATGACGTGTCACGTGACCGCAATATAACGTGTTACAGTACCGTAAAACTGGTAGATAAAAATATTAAAAGAAGATACCACTAAAGCGTCAACAAAGTATATTTCTGAAAACGTCTTCTTATCAAAATTATATTTATATATTCTGTCAGTTAATTAAATCATCAAAAATAAGTTAACAAACGCATAATAAATAGAACACTCTAATAAAAAAAAATTTCGTGGAGGTGCAGAAAAACAAAGAGAGCTTTACAAAATAGCATCGATTAATAAAGCAAAAAAATGTCCAAAAATTCATATGTTTAAAACATTAAATTCACCTGTTCAATATGACGAGGAATATAATTGTTTTGTTATAACTTATAATTTATGATTTTCTTACATAATTTTATTTTTTGGTTAATGACAGCAAAATACCTATTTGATACTAAAAAGGTTTATGACCTATTTGATTCAAATAAGTTCAAATCTACTTCAAAATTTCAAAAAGATTTTAAAGTAGTTCTAGAAATGTGACTAAAGAATATTTTTGTTGAACAAAGTTGTTTTTGTTTTTTTACCGTTTATTTTTAATTCATTTTTAATTTATAATTTAAGAATAAGACACTTAAAGACACTTAAAGACAGTCTTTGAAAACAAAAAATTTAATACTTCTCTACCAGATGTTCTGATGACTACAACATTGGGTGCAACAACTGACCCCATGAGTAAATTAAAAATATATACCTATACTAAACATTTATTGAATAGATTTAGAATAATTTTATAGTTATGTATTCTATTTATTATCAAATATAGGTAGGCGCTATTTTTTTTTACCTTTTTCACAGTTTATTTTTGAATTGATTTTTTTTACTTATAATTTAAGAATGAATGTGTTGAAACACTTGCAACATTTAAAGAAAGTGATCTTGCCTTTAAAAAATATTAATTTGATCACTTCTCTACTAGATACTCCGATGAGTACAACATTGGGTGCAACAACTGACTCCGTGAGTATATAAAAAATATTTGGTAAAAATGTTTGATTTGATGGATCCAAGGTTATGGTATAAATATAATACAAATTTTATTGAAAAATTGTTATTTTTATTAGGTTACCATGGAATGTATAAGAACTATAATTCCTTTGGCTCAAACGCAATCACTTACAATGATCATATGTTTAGAAAATCTACATCAAATTTTTTGAATTTCATCCTATTCAAAATTTGAATAAATCTGAAACACAACTAATCAATCACTTGATGGTAGTTTAAGTTATTGGCTTACATACTGCGAAAACACACAATATTTTTATTGCTCAGTATGTTTGGTTTTTGCTAAAAGTACTGATGAAAGTAAGTTTATTACCGGAATGAATGATTTCAAACATCTATATTGTCGAATTAATGAGCACAAAAATAGTAAAAACCACTTTTTTTGTGCTGATACATACATGATGCAAAAAAAAAAGAAACGAGTATTAATGTTTTACTGTGTAAAAATCAATTATCTAAAAAAGTACAAGAAGTTGAACATCGTAGAATGATTTTTAAACGAATTACAGATGTTATCAAGTTAATTGGGAAACGTGGCTTAAGAGCCATTATCTGAGAAATATAGGCAAAATCGGCAAAGTCTGGAAGTGATGTCTTCAAAATCTCTTCATTTTCAGATATCTTATAGAAAACAATGAAATTAGGCCACATTTAAATTTTTTTTCGAAAACTCCCATTATTTGCGGAGATATCGGGGGCTGAAATTTGGCCCATTTTGTAAAAATATTGGTGCATGGAACGGAATTACTACTTTTAGGGGCAATTTTAGCAATATGAATTTGAGAAACTCATTTATTTTTCTTATTTCTACTACTCTGAGTGGATTTCTCTGGTTAAAATAAAAATTCAAAATGTTTACATTTTTTATTGTCTAGAAATCACGGTTCAAAACCGCTAAATTTGAAATTTTACCCGTACTTTGACCATTTATATCTCCTAAGGCCATTACTTGCACATAATTTACTTAACTGCTTTTGAAAGCCAATAAGGTATACATTGAATTTATAGAAAAAAAATTATGAGTATGCAAGAGCCTGGGAAAGAGTAAGCTTCCAAAAATGAATTTTCGCGGTTAATACGCTTTGTTAGATTACAAATAACAATCGTGGCCTTAGGTCTGCCATGAAATGTATAAGTTATTTCGTTTCCTTATACATGCATCTTCCAATATCTGAAAAAAAATTCATGTGCTTAAGCGATAAAAAGCCTAGAGAAGTCCTAGAAATAGTCTAATTTTGCCACATTCTTAACCAACAAAATACCCTAGCAACGACATAGATATGCTTAGCAACGGCTTCTATAATTCGTTAATAATTAGTACTCTAATTAAAAATAAATAAAAATTACATTTTTATAACAAAAAACTGTATAAAAGCGCTTGATAAAAGTTATTTTCTAAGCTTCTTTAATGAGAAAAAGATCCAATCATCACACACTTTGAAGTGTTTAAATCATTGTTAAAACAATTATGTAAATTTCGGATAAACGTTTTTTCAAATACAACTTGTTTAAGAAAGCAAACCAAATAAAGTTTTAAAGAAGTTTATCTGTCAATCTGAATTTCTATGTTATACATATCGTCTATTGAGAGAGAATAGTCCCCTCTTTGATTAGTTGGTGTTGGTGCATCAATCCTACAAATAACGTCAAGATATAAATATTGGAGAATATTTTCCTTGGTTGGCCACTTGAAACAGTTTTTTCCAGGTGTAGTAGAATATTCCATACAAGAAACATGAACATTGTCACGATTGACCTACATGGTTAAGTTAAAAGTAAAACAACGTCTAATCATTGGTGCTTTCTGAATATTTCTTACATTTAAATGTTGTGGTTAATAAATTAATAATTATATAACTTAATAAAAAAGATCTAATACTCAAAAATTAAATATTTTGATGTTATAACGTCTTACACTTTGAATTATTGCAGGATACCACTGCATATTATATTCAATAGCAACCCAATCACCAATTTGAAAATCAGCTGCTAACTCCTTTGCTATGAGCTGAATATCGTTGTTTAAATCATCATCTTTATTTTGACTTGTATGTCTCGCATCATCAGTCAGATCAATCATGTCATCAGTTAGATTAGCATCTTCACAAAAAATGGTAACTAGCTTTCCTTCTCTTTTTTGTTTACTCCATCTAAAAAAATGTACTTGAAGCATGAAGGTAAATTCAAAATATTTATCTTAAAACTCAAGAAAAGAATAAAATTAAATTTTATATCATTCATACTTTGGGTATCAGTAAATATAGAAGTAAATTTACTCGCCTAGAGAATAATGATCGAATTTGTTGAGTTGTCACATATTCACTTGGCTTTAACTTTGTCCTCAGCTGCTGGTGAACCTGCTCTGGGCTCATTTTTTTCCCTTGTTCTTCTCCAGACATAAACATCTGCATTAACAATGTTTTCTGCTTTGAAGAATATCTGAACACTTTTCTTTTTGGTAATGCCCACCCAGTGATGTCTGTGAAGTTTTCAATCCCTTTAATGACAGATTGGGATGACGGCAGATAATCATAAGAATTTAGGTTTGAAATTTTCATTTTGTTGATATAAGATAGTTTTGCTCTGTCTACCATTGATTTCTTCACAGATTGAAAATTGTGGTTTTCTGATAACAAGTGTACTTCTAATGATTCATTGTCAAAAAATGAATCAGTGCAACCAAATTGTGTACAAAACTTTAAAGTGTTAACTCTTCTATCAACACGTGGTTTTTTGGAAATTGTTGGGGCAGTATAAATTTTGCAAGTCGAACTAAAGGGCTTAACAATTTCAACTGAAGTATGGAATGTCACATTTGTATAGTTCCATTTTTTACCTTTACCAATTCGGAAGTATCTCCACATTATCATGTGATCAGGGAAAAACTGAAAAGAATGATAACTGCTTATGTTGGGAATCAGATTTGATCCTGATAAAATAGAGGCTTTGGAATTTATTATAACTACAGCAACATCAGCGTTTTGAATTCCTTTACCATTATGAAGAGCCTCATAAAGATCTTCTGCAGTCAATAAATTGTTTCCTGCGTCAACAAAACTCCTAATGACACATTTCGCTCCTGCTGACTCTCTATCACATTGATCTTTTCCACGCGAAGGCTCGTTGTAATCATACCTTTTAAGGAAAAATTGTTTTGCTTTGCAAACATTGTAAAGGGCTTCTAAGTAGAAGTTTCCATGATAAGATGATGCATTATCTGACTTAGCATAAAGATTCTTTAAATAAGGAAAATCATTTTTAACTTTGGCCAAAACAACATCAGCGAGACAGAGTACATCAACAAGGCTTTGCTCACATCTATATACAGCAGTAAAATACACTTTTTTTTTCATTCGACCATTTTCATAGAAAAAGAAGACATCAACATGTAGAGTCATTCCTTTTTTCCCAAAATATTCTTTTTGGCCTTCACGGAATTTAGCGGGCAATATTTTTTGACAAAAATCCTTTAGCCAAAATCCTGTTTCCTCATCAAGTTGCTCAAAAGCCATTATTTTGGCCATTTTTTGCTGCGCATCACGAATTTGATGTTTCATATAGGCTTCAACATCTTCTGTAGCCACATTTAAATCATATAGTAGATCTTCATCTTCACTTTGTATAACCAACTCACGAACCTGATTGATTACTGAAATGAGGTCAGTACAGTCAATGCATTGTTCATCGTCAGCGGTTATGTTTGATTGGTTTAAGTCCGGATCTATATCCGAAAGGGCAAATGAAGTTGAGTGACTATGCAAAGTTGAATTTTCACTACATTTGGAAGGATAATTACTCTTCAGATACCTTTTACCTTTTTCAAGAAACTTAGTAACATTTTTATATTTCCACTTCTCAGAAATGGCAATTAATGTTTGGAAACCGTTCATGCCAGCTGCTGTAACATCATCAAGACCAGCTAAAGATTTCCTTTGAGAAGGTTTTATTCCACAAAGAATTCTCCATAAAGAACTATCTGACATAGGGACATAATTAGTTTCTAGGCAAATTTCTTTATAAAATGTGATTGTATGGCTAAACTTCATCATCAAAATGGCATTAGCCACTTTTTGTTTCTCTCCGTTGTCAAACTTTATTTTATTTATACCATATGCTACATCTTGAAGCAGACCTCGAGAAAATAAAAATTCCAAAAAATGTTCAATTTTTTCTTGAGGCATTCGGCATATTTTTACCTTACCCTTCTTTGGTATGGAAAGTCCAATGTTTTCTTTCTGCAACTTGCGTCCTTTTTCTATTTGATGTTTTTTGCAATCAAAGACTTTCATTAATGTCTCTTTAGTGTACTTATTATGATTAACAACTGAAAGCAAAAGAATTTTTCCTAAAGAATCGCTTTCTTGGAACATCTTAACTTGTACAATTAGGTCTTCTGGAACCATTTCAGTTGCAACATTTTCATCTTCACTGTTTAATACTTGGTTTATAAGTGCTTCTGATTGACCAGGTGCAATTGCTTCAGCAAATATCTTCTCGAGCTGCACTTTACATTTCTCAAATTTTTTTTTAACTTTCTGTTTAGTTCCTTGTGTTAAGTCTTCTATTCGCTTTTGCGTTATGTGAAAAGACAGTGGACTTGCTCCTAGTGCTTCACACAAAGAACTAGCTTTTAATTTTGATTCTTCGATGGTCTTATCTGAAATGATTGCTAAATCTGGAACATAAACTTTATCAACATAAGAACTAGACTTTACTGTTGGAATTGGTTCTATCATGTCAATAATATTATCTATAGAAATAGTTTTTAGGTGCTTAAAGCAAAATACGGCTCCAATAGGTAGCGATGAATTACTTTTATTATAAGTAGCAAGGGTATTCAAAGGTATGGATCTAATTTTTGGTGCTTTTTTACCAACTTGAAATATATGACTTGGGTATTGACATCTGTTTGGCGGCTTCCATCCAATACCAAAAGAAAAACGGTGGTATGCACATAACCAGTCGTCGCATGAAAGATAAGTTTGTAATCGACTTTCAATTAGAGTTTTTTCATTATACTGGTTTGTCTGCGGTAACTATAAAATAGTAATGTTAAATTTGTCATCTATTTGTTGGAGGTATTGTTGCTTATAATTAAAAATATATATATTAATTGATAAATTATACCTTTAGTACTTGTAAATGATTACTTATGTCAGCAGTTAATTCATTAATTTGAAAGATCCCATGTTGTTTCCAACGCTTAAAAGGGCCACAAGAAGTCTGTCCTTTATCAAAATACACGCATTTTTCATAGAGACTGACTATATTGTTGCTCTCTGACATTTTGTATTTAACTTTTATTTTTTATTTTATTATTTTTTATTGAATAAACAAAAGATAACAAAACAAAAAAACTTTATTTCGTAGTTTCTCATCTCATGCTATGGCTATTTATTAAATTCATGTGCTAATTCTTCGAGAAGAATGTGTCTCCAAGGAAATAGTCTTGCAATCATTAATAATTGTCTAAAGAAAGTATTACAAATGACTGCCCAAAGGGAATTGCTTGTGTAGCAATCATTACAGTCATTAAAAAAAGTATCTTTAATGTCACTTCTTTACTTTGGTTATTACACTTTTGCCATCGCATTCTTTGAACCTATTGTTGCGCATTTTGTTACATTAAAAAAGCTTAAAAAATAATTTTTATCAAGCACTTTTGTACAGTTTATACAGTTTTGTTATAAAAATGTATTTTTTATATATTTTTAATTTGAGTACTAACTATTAAAGAGTAAAAGTAGCCGTTGCTAAGCATATCTATGTCGTTGCTAGGGTATTTTGTTGGTTAAGAATATGGCAAAATTAGACTATTTCTAGGACTTCTCTAGGCTTTTTATCGCTTGAGCACATGGATTTTTTTTCAGATATTGGAAGATGCATGTATAAGGTAACAAAATAACTTATACGTTTCATGGCAGACCTAAGGCCACGATTGTTATTTGTAATCTAACAAAGCGTATTAACCGCGAAAATTCATTTTTGGAAGCTTACTCTTTCCCAGGCTCTTGCATACTCATAATTTTTTTTCTATAAATTCAATGTATACCTTATTGGCTTTCAAAAACAGTTAAGTAAATTATGTGCAAGTAATGGCCTTAGGAGATATAAATGGTCAAAGTACGGGTAAAATTTCAAATTTAGCGGTTTTGAACCGTGATTTCTAGACAACAAAAAGTGTAAACATTTTGAATTTTTATTTTAAGCAGAGAAATCCAGCTAGAGTAATAGAAAAAAGAAAAAGAAATGTGTTTCTCAAGTTCATATTGCTAAAATTGTCCCTAAAAGTAGTAATTCCATTTCATGCACCAATATTTTTACAAAATGGGCCAAATTTCGACCCCCGATATCTCCGCAAATAATGGGAGTTTTCGAAAAAAAATTTAACTGTGGCCTAATTTCATTGTGTTTTATAAGATATCTGAAAATAAAGAGATTTTAAAGACATCACTTCCAGACTTTGCCTATCTTTCTCAGATAATGGCTCTTAATCTCTCGAGGTGAATATGAATCAGCTAAAGACCTAGCCAATGTCAATTTTAGTCATGGAAATTTTCTAGATATATTATTACTGTTGGCTAACTATGATACACCACTGGATGAACATATCAAGTCAGTAATAAAAAAAGCAAACTACAACCAAACTCGTGGAAGAAGTCAATAACTTATATAACACTAATGCGGTAGTGGTGTAGTGGTAGAGCGTTCGCTTCATAAACGAGTGGTTCCGAGTTCGATCCCCACCACGTCCCTGGTAGTACCGCGCTCAACTTGTTTCTCCGCGCAGCGGTCTTGTTCGTCAAGGTTCGTGTTTCGGAGTTATAGAGTTGAGAGAGGGTTATAACCACAAATAATTAGCCTCCTCGTCTGTAGTGGCCATCTCGGCCTTGAGGAGGTGAATTAAAATAAAAAATAAAATAAAAAAAAACTTTCCTTTCAAAAATAACAGCTAATTATGTCATTAAGTCAATTTCTATACTTATTAAAAAACAAATCAGCGAAGATATCATAAAATCTAATATGTATTCAATTCAAATTGATACTACCCAAAATGTTTCAGTCACTGACATTTGTTCAGTGATAGTAAGATATGTTTCTTTAGAATATAAAACTGGGGTAGAGTTTACTATACATGAAAGAGTATTATCGTTTTTGAATCCAAAAAAAACTTCTGGTCAAGCATTATGTGATTTGGTGTCAAATAATTTATCTGAAAATATGATAGATGTAAAAAAATGTGTTGGTTCTTCCACAGATGGGTCATCAAATATGATTGGACAATATAATAGTTTTTCTAAATGGTTAGAAAAAGAGTGTCCAAGTTAACTTCATGTGTGGTGTTATGCATAGTCTTAATTTGGTTATCATGGAAGCTACGGCGGTTTCAACTCCAACTGTATCTTTGTTTGGTCTGTTAAATAGTTGTGCTGTATTTTTAGAGATTCACACAAACGAATGGACTTATGGCGTGATATAACAATAGATTGTCGGGTGTCAAACCTAATTGGACAAATAAGATGGTGGGATAAAGATCATGCATGAAAAAGATGTTTGGTTCCGTCTAACTCGTTGTATGTAACTATAATAAAAATTTTGTCAATTATTTTTTCTAACAGTGAAGATTTCAATAATGATTGTAGATGTACTGCAACAATGTTATTACAGTCTTTTATAAAGTTGGAAACAATTCTTACTGCACAGTTATATCTGAAAATATATCAGCAAACAACACCATTATCTAAGTACTTGCAGACGAACGGCTTGTATATTTTGCAAGCTCAACAGATGGTAAATTTAACGTTAGAGTGTCTAAGAAGGGAAGCTAGAAATTTTGAAGATGTTTTAATAGCTGCTAAAAGTTTTGTTTCTTGGGCTCGTGATTTGATTGAAATTGAAAATGATATTGATGTTGTTATTCAAGATTCTCTTCCAAATGCACGTGTACGTGTAAGGAAAACAATCGATGGTGAAAATAGTAACAATAATGCAAATTATGCAGCTATTGATTTATACAAATTTAATGTTCATAACACACCTATGGATACAGTTGTTTCTAAACTTGAGCAACGTTTCGCTTTCAGAAATATGCTCAGATTTTTCTTGTTTATATCCTCGTCAATTTTCAAAAAAATTACCAAAAAATGCTCTTTTTAAAATTAGTAAAGTACTTGGGTTTGAAAATTCTACGGTTTTAAGAGATGAATTTGAAGATTTTATTAAAAAATCGGATAAAATTTACCTGATTTTATTAAAAAATTGGATTAAATTTACCTGAAGTTTATGCAAGTTATAACCCAAATGAAGACATTGAGCTACCAAAGTTACATTTGGAAGAAAATAAAGTTGAACAAAAAAACTGTAAAACAAATACTCGCTGTTTTAATTGTTTTCTTTATTGTTTCAATGTTTTGTTTCAGTACAGATTATTTGTTGAGTCGTACAGCCATTTGTTTTTGACCTATAAATATATCTTGACTTTGTCTTGCACCCAAGTATGCTGTGAAAAAAGTTTTTCTACCTTAAATTATATAAAAAACTGTCTTCGGAATCGTTTATCACTTGACAATTTGATTGCTTAGATCTTAATGAATTTAAATAAAGACATTTTAGAAAAATTAACACACGACAACGTAATTGATAAAGTTGTAAAACATAATTCCTTACTAAAAAAAGTTTTAATAATTTAGATTATTATACCTCATCAGTTATTGAACATAATGGTTTCTTTATTTATATTATTTTAATAATATTTTGCAGAGTTTCCACTCTTCATTAAAAGCCTTAAATAATTTAAATAAATAAAATAATTAAATTAATATTTTAATTAATTAAATAATTAAAATTATTTTAATTATTAAAAACCCCTTTAAACTAATTAATAATTAAAAACTTTAAACAACCTCGAGAAGATTGAGAATGATTCTCTTTTTGAGTAATGAGTTTCTCCTAAATTTTTTATAAATGTTTTGCTTTTTTTAAATAAATCTCCTTGAAATTTAGGCAAGTTTAACAAAGCCTAAAAACTTGTGAAAAGTCGTTTATTAGAACTAGATCCCTTTTTAGAAGAAACCTTGGGCTGTTTCATTAGGGTGCGAGATCGTCTTTCAATACAATATTGGTCTAGTACAATTGATGATTGTGTTAATTAACTGACCAGGAAGTCAAACATGTGTTATGGAAATAAATTTTAACATATAGATTTAAAAATATAAAGATATAATTGCAAAAATTATGTTACGTGTTATGTCGTGTGCCTTTGGTGTGTTATTTAATAATTTATTTATTCTATACAATACTTATATATAATTATTCATTAATGTACCATGCAATGGTATAACAAAGGCGTTGTGGCGGTTATTTTTACTAACGCGATTTTAAAGCGAACGGACGCGTTTTTAAAGCTTCTTAGAAACTTCGTAAGTTTATTTATTTACATAATATTCTTTATAAAATGTCAAAAACTTTTTCCATAACCCAAATTAAAGAACTATTGGATATACATGAAAATACAATAAACTTTTAAATGACAAAATGAAAAATTAGAAAACAAATTTAACATCATTGTAGAAGAAAATAAATATTTAAAAAGTGAAGTTAATGAACTAAAAAAATCTATGGAATTTATAAATGATAAATACGAAAACATAAAAAAACGAAGCAGCAAATTAAAAAAAAACAAACGACATAAGTAATCAAGGTAATGAAAAGAAGAATTTAGAAGAAGATGATATTATTATTAATAAACTGGCTGAATTAGAAGATCACAGTCGAAGAAACAATCTTCGAATCAACGGTATCGAAGACTGTGATAATGAATAATGGGAAGAAAGCGAGAAAAAAGTCCAAGAATTTATTTAATCTAAGCTTGCATTAAGTATAATGTAAATATAGAGGGAGCCCACCGAGTAGGAAGAAAAGAATCAGATAAACCCAGAAATAGGCTTACAATAGTCAAATTCTTAAATTACAAAGACAGAAGCACGATATTGGTAAATTACATTATTCTGAAACTTTGGAACCAAAAAATCTACATAAACAAAGATTTTAGCAAACGGACGATAGAAGTCAGGAAAAAGCTTTTTGCCGAAGCAAAACGTTGTCCATATTAATGCAAGGAGTTTAAAAAATAATTTTGAAAATTTTTTAAATGTCATTTGCGAAACTGATAATTCTTTTAATTTAATTTGTGTAACATAAACATGGTCTTCTAACGAGGATTTTGAGAATATTTCAAACCTCCAACTCCCAGATTTTAATGTAAATAAGCGTGGAGGAGGAGTACTTTTTTATTTTAGAAATAGTCTTTTGTATAATGTTAGACGCGATATGAGTGTTTCTGATGAAAATAAAGAGATTTTAACTATTGAAATTATTAACAAAAAAATCAAAAAACCTGCTAATAAGCTGTTGTTATAGGCCTCCAACTGGAAGAACTAAAGACCTTAGCTTTTTTTTACAAAAGAAAATTCTAGAAAAAACTAATCTCGAAAATAAAAAAAAATTACTTGACTGGCGATTTTAATTTAGATAGTTTTGATTATTACGAAAATCAAAATACTAGAAAATTTTACAATAATTTATTTGAAACAGGAACAATTCTGTGTTCCGAGTGAAATTTTAATTTATGTAAAATTATGCAAATCTGCCATGTTGGTTCACAAACATTCCGTGAAAAAAGTTCAGTATGTCAGAAAGCAATTATTACAAACTTTTGTCAAACCAAAATAAAAGTCGATATTAAACCAAGATCTCAACAATAGGCAATGTTGATCCATATACCTTGAAAAAGGCAGATTATCTTTCTGAGCCACAGTTTTATCCTAAAATCACCCATGCTGATATTCTTACGTATTTATTGTTTGCACCAAGCCCTGCCACCAAAGAAGAACTTAAATGCTTTAAAAGTTTAGACGCTTATAAACATTTTTTGAGTGGTTGGGTAAGAGATATTGGTGTTAAACTTTTCTCTAATGAATCCATATGCTTGGTTCACGGAAAGGTGATTTAATTTTACTTAATTTTACTTATCTTTCTTATTTATCTTTTGTATAGTTTCATTGAAACCTTCGATGAATGTTACATGAAAGGCAAAGTAGTATACGAAGCCATCATATAATATTTTGACTTTCATATTATCTTCATAACCTGTTTTGATAAATTTTTGCAAAAGTAATGTAGCTCTAATAATATTAGATATAGTATATTAGTAATATATAAAATTACATTTTAGGTTTTGCATTCTCAACGATTAAATGAGTCTCCAACATTAACCTGGATTATAGCTCATATGGATGGTGATGTATAATCTGCTCACTGCAACTGCATGGCTGGCTTAGGTGAGTCTTTTTCGCACATTGGAGCTATTTTATTCTTTATTAATGCAACTGTCCGAATTAGAGACTCTAAAACTGTCACTGAGGTAAAGGCCTATTGGATGTTGCCTGCTTCTTTGAAATCAGTGCCTTATGCTGAAGTGGTTGATATAAACTTAGCAGACTCTTAAAAGAAAGTTTAATGACAAACTTAAAGAAAACTATGCAACTTCTATTGAACTTGCTGTTGATAAAAAAAGTAAACAGTCGTGTTTAGAAAAGAATAAAAGACCTTCACAAAAACAACTTGACATATTTTATAAGCAACTGAGTCTGTGCAATTCTAAACCTGCAATTTTATCTATAATACCTTCTTATGACGATATTTATATTCCAAAACAACATTCTAACTTATTACCAAAAATTTTATTTGATATTTATGATACAAATTTATTAAATATTAGTTACTTTGAGTTATGTCAACACTGTGAAAACATTGAATTTAGCCAAGTTACTGATGAACAACAAATAGCTGTTGAGGAATTAACAAGAAAGCAAGTTCTATCCAAAAATTGGTTTTTATATCGTGCTGGCAGAATTACTGCATCAAATGTTTACAACGTAATGCATTCTTATCAGAATAAACAAACATCTTTGGTTAAAAAAATTTGCTATCCTTTCATTAATAGCTTTTCAACACAAGCTACAAGCTACGGGAAAGTTCACGAGAAAAAAGCATTAAGTATTTACACAGATGCTGTTAGTCCAATATGCAATAGTATATTGGAAGAATTGCTTCTGTAATAGTTTGTGTTTGAAATTCTATTTTTGTTAGAAATCCTATAAAACAATTTTAATTGAAAAAAATTCATTTCATCTTTTTTTTATTTTATAACATCTTATTAGGAAGCATAAGACATTATTTATGCTTCTCGTAGGTAATTTTCGAGTTTAAGTTAAAAGCAAGGGCTTTGTTAAAAAAACTTTAAAAGTATTAAAGTGTGCTCAAGAACTTTGAAACCTCCTTTCCTGGTTTCCAAAGGTTTGTCTGCATATAAATATATGTAATGGCTTAATGTAATATAGTCTCTATTAATATTTGCTCTACAAAGCTTGCCGCCTTGTTGGAAGCAAAAATGTTAAAAAACAACAACAACTGAAAACTAGTTTTAGTCAACTGGAATAACAGAATCACACATATTTGTTAGACCACATGATATAATTGCAATTTTATCAACTGTTGAATAACCACTGTTATCTTTTCTTATGAGATAATCTAATGGTAAAACGTCTTGTAATATGGTATACTAATTTTTAAGATTTCCTATTACTCGTTCTACATGAATTCTCACTGATGCAATATGACGTGTTTGTTCTACATCAATTGAGTCAAGCTGTCGTTTTCCTTTAGTAAAAGCTGGTATTTTTACTGAGGCACAATAAACAGCAACAGATTCCTCAATATTGAAACCTCTATCGGCCATTACAATATCCCCCGGTAACAGGTAATTAAGAATTTTACAATTTTCAGTGAGATGCTTATCACTAGTTCTACCGCCCCATGCCTTTGAAATAAAACTAATAACACCTTGTGGAGTAACACCGACCAAAAACTTCACTGTATTGTGATGTTTGTAACTTGAAAATGTTTGTGCTCTGGCTAAAAGGTTTGTAGGTTTATGTGTAAAAACTTCAAAACAATCAATTATTACAACTACCTTTGTACCAAAATGTTTCCGAAAACAACTAGGTGTAGTTTTCCATAGCTGTTCACGTGCAGGCCATTTTATGAGTTGACGTAAATAAATAAATAAGACATCTGTTAGTTCAATAAATACTGAAGAAATTGTTGAGTTACTAACTTCAAAACGATAGGCAAGATCTTTTAAGGTTAAATTAAGACGTAATCTCATCAAAGACAAGGTTAATTTACTGAACTTCGATAACACTGATCTTGATCCTTTAGTTCATTAAAAAAAAATAAAACAACTGGGTATAATGATATTAATGTGAATATTATAATAGACTTTCGTGATGTTATAAAACACATTATTTTTAAAATCTTTAGAGCATCCATCAATGAAGGAATATTTCCAGATTGTCTAAGAATAGCTAAAGTATTTCCTGTCTACAAGACAGGAGATCATACAAACATAAATATTATCACCCTATTTCAGTTCTTTCAGTCTTTTCAAAAATACTAGAAAAAAAAATGTTCAATCGAATTTACGACCATCTAATTAACAATAAAATCTTATACGAAAACCAATTTGGTTCTATAAAAAACAATTCAACAGAACACGCTATTCTCCAACTTACGCGCGACATCTCAGAATCTTTTAAAAAATCTCATTTCACATTAGGAGAATTTATTGACTTATCTAAAGCTTTTGATACCGTCAACCATCAAATTCTAATTAAAATTTTTATCATATGGAATAAAAGATAACACCCTCAAAACATCTTACAAATCGTAAGCAATATGTTTATAATAAAGAATCCTCGTCTCAAGTGTTAATGAATATAACGTGTGGTGTTCCACAAGACTCCATACTTGAACCTCTTCTCTTTATAATATATCTGAATGATCTTCATAAAACTTCAAGCCTAACAAAAATAACCTTTGCATACGACACAAGTTTATTTCTATCTCATGAAAATATTAATATTCTTTTCAACAACATGACAAATGAATTAAAAAAAGTTTCTCATTCGTTCAAAATAAATAGGTTATTTCTCAACTCTGCTAAAACTAAATGGACACTTTTTTATCCACTTTATAAAAAACATAGAATACCACATTTGTTACCTGAACTATATATTGACAATGTAATGACAAAAAGAGAAAAAATAACAAAATTTCTAAGAACTTATATTGATGAAAATTTAACTTCACATTAAACATCACATAAACATTATCTCTTCTAGAGTTTCCAAATGCATCGATATTCTTTATAAAGCTAGAAACATACTAAATAAACGGCAGCTGACTTAATTGTACTATTCATTTGTTCACTGTCATATAAACTATGCAAATATTATATGGGGTAGCACTCAAAAGACAAAACTTAAAACTCTTTTTAATCATCAGAAACACGCAGCTCGCGCAATTAATTTTAAAAATCGTTTTACACACTCTGCGCCGCTTCTTAAAGATATGAAAGCTTTGATTGTTTATCAACTTAACATTTTTAATATTTTATGCTTTATGTTCAAGTGTAAAGAAAATTTATCCCCACAGGTATTTCAATATTTTTATTCTTTAAAGCCGAAAAACAAATATAATTTACGAATTGACAACAATCTTAAAGGTGAGTTTCCACTCATCCGTTTTTCTATGGGAACGAATAGGAAAAAGAAAAATAATCACGTGAGCATGCGTAGTTTTACTTCGCACAAATTAAAACTTATAATACGCATGCTTACGTGATTATTTTTCCCTTCCCTTTCCCGTTCTCGTGAAAAAACGGATGAGTGAAAACCTTAATGCTCTCTTTCGCAAAACTAAATACGACGAATTTTATATGTCCTATCGTGGACCTCTTCTTTGGAACAAAATAGTTTAACCTAATTTTGACTTTTCAATCAAATTAAACTACTCTTCATTCAAAACCAAAAAAGAAGAAGTTATCTTTTCAATAGAAAACATCTTTATCTATTTTTTGAGTTTTTATCATTATTGCTGATATATTAGACTTTATTGTATTATGTTTTACTATTTACGAATATTTCCATGAGTTCTTTGCAAACTTATGTATTTAGTGGATTTTATGTTTGTATTTTATTGCTTTTTATTACTGAGTTTTGTTAAACTTTATAATATTGTTTTTGTTATTTTACGAATTTTTATTACTTCGCTAAATTTGTAATATGTTAAAATTTGTATTATTAATATTATTATTTGGCAAAATAAAAAAAAAAAATAATAAAAAAAGTTACCAAGTAGTGTAACAAGGCGTTGTGGCGCTTACCAAGGGCACAGCTAAATCTCTAGTTTTTAAACTTTTATTTAAAAAATTACTTAGTATAATCTTTTATAACAACAACAACAAAAAGTAAATAATTATATTTTAAAATATTTCATTTAAACCAGTATTTATACCAGCAGCCGTGGCGCAATGGTTAGAGTTCTGGCTCAGAACTTAGAGGTCCGAGGTTCGACGCCAGCTCTTTACCAACAAGCGACATCGGTATGGAAGGAGGCGTGAATCTTCTGTTAAATGTTCTCCCGCGGTACTCTGTGATAAGACCGTAAGGACTTCTGGGAGCACTTAAATAATTACAAAATAGTATGACATTTTCTACTGTCCTTTAATATGCAAATTTCAATATTATCTTATTAGCAACACGCCTGCTTACAAAAGAAATTTTTTATTGAAAAAACGTATTCAGAAAATAAATATATTGGAACTCATATTCGAACCTTCTGCACTTGTTGTAAAGATGTAACTTTTCGCAAGAGACTTAAAAATTAGTTTATTGTTATTAATATTTGATCGATTTTAGAATTTTAGTATCAAATCAACTGAATCTTTTTTAAAATCAAAATAATTTTTAATATCAAATCAATGAATTCTCAATAAGAATATATAATTTATTAATTTAATTCATTATTCAGATAAAAATATATATTCGAACTTGAAAGTTAGGCATGATTTGGAAAAAAAAACCGGACATCAATACCGCACAGAATGATTTGCTAAAACGAAAATAGAACAATACTTTGATTCACAAAAGTGGTTTTTGCCGAACAACTCAAAATCTGAGAATGATTATAAAAGTGTGTGCTTCTTTAAAAAGTTTAAAGGATGAACTGGATGGTGAATGTTTATGACATGGAAGGTGGAGGTGCTACGGAGCTAAAAGCTAGAGATTTTACTTTAAAAAAATTAAGATCGTGGAAAAAACGGAACATGACTTATTTGAATAAAACGAAGTTGATATGAGCGATACGACAGAATATAAAAATGTGAGTGAAAATGATCTAATAACATGGAACTTAAAACTATTGATTCCTTTATCGTTTATCATTTTTTTCTTTTTTTCGACAAGTAAAAAAGTTTATTACCATTATTATTTTCATTACCCGTTCATATGTATGACAAAAAGATTTTTTTAAAAAAAAAATTACTGTGATAAGA